ACCCCGTCTTAAGGCAAGAGCGCGCAGGAAAGGCTGTTGATGACAACTGACGGAAGCTATACGGTACCCTAAACCCTATACCCTAAAGCCTATACCCTAAACCCTATACCCTAAACCGTAAACCCTATACCCTAATCCCACAGAGCACCGAAGTTTCAGATCAAGAGCAGACCTTGTGGCCTCCTGGCCAGGAGAGGACCTGGACAAGCCTCTGCGGCAGCAAGGTGGAGACCGAGTTTTCGGCTCTTCAATCTGGGAACTCTTTAAAGGATATATATATATATGTTTCTATATATGTATATATACATATATATATATATATATAAAAGGAACCCACAAAGGCACCTTTGAAGGAACCCTTAAGCCCCCCCGAACTCCAGGTGCCCAGCTTTCTGGGCGCTGGCGCCCCTCGGAGTTGGCCCGGCCGAGCATCGTCACGGGCCTGCCGGGGTTCCTTTACGGGTCCCTTTACAGGTTCCTTTAATGGCTCCTGGATTTTGGACTTCAAGTTTAGACTTTAAAGGTTTAGGATGTGTGTTTTTGGATTTGATAAGGAACCTGGCACGAGCTTGCAACTTGAGCTACAAGCACCCCCAACGGTGCTTGATTATAACCCTACCTATAGGTACAAGGTAACGAAAGGGTTCTCAAGCCTTGTGTTGCGCCTACCTGGTATCAGTCAGCATAGTGACGTGAGAGTCCCGCAAGCCTGTCACATGCGAGTTAAATCCTGGTACATGTTTGCAGCACGGCCACCGCGTGAGCAGCCACGATAAGCCCGACAAAAGTGTCTGCTTGTATACCGGCGGCACGAAGAGAGGTTCTGAACTCCAGCTGCCAGCTACCCATGGAACGGACAAGCAAAGCTACGCAGAGAGACCCCGTGGTGGAAAGTTGCTGGGTGACAAACATGGCCGTACCGCCATCAGCCGTCCGCGGCGGTGCAGCTACTAATCAACATCTATATCTATATCTATATCTATATCTATACCTATATCTATACCTATATCTATATCTATATCTATATCTATATCTATGTGTATATATATATATATATATATGTGTGTGTGTGTGTTTCTATATATGTACGTACATATGTGTATATATATATATGTATATATATATATATATATATATGTATATATATATATATGTATATATATACATATATGCACGGATAAAAAAGATATCATTGTCTATACTTATGTCAAGAAGCTTGGGCTCGCTTCCAAGAGAGACGCATGTGGATCTTGACATCATGCGCACACTAAGTTGCTACTGGAGCTTTGAACGTTTGCTTCAGTTCATGCAGATTCGTCTCGCGCAGATGTTCTACATCAGGGGTCCCGCCTAACTACTCTAGTTGTACTGCATCACAATTTCAGCTTAGAAGAGGAAGAGTGGCCGAAATCTCAGAAATGGCAATGAGGTGCATGATCAACATGAGCTGGTCAAGAGATCTCCAAAGCTTTAACTCAGGACATGTTTCCCTGAGCCATGCGGCAGTGATTCGATTTTCTCGGACAGGGACTCCCGCAAATGGAACAATGCAAACATCACACTCCGAGAACCCGAGAAGAGAAGACTGCCGGCCAACTCGCTTAGCCGGAGCTCCAGGACTACAGGAGATGTCGTCCTGCTTTCTGGCGCGCAGTTCTATCCGCAAGATGTGCAAAGGTCACGCTGCCTTTGGCCTTTGCCATCACCCAAGACTTGTTGGTTTCTGTGAAATTGCGCCACGAATGAGATTGCTCCACGAACATGCGCGCAACCACCATGCAGCGGGCGTGACCCACGAGATCCGATCGCCCTCAATTACGGAGAATACCACTGAAGACTTGATAAACGGTTTCTTGTCTAGGCACCAAAACCCTTTCCGAATCTCCAACAATGCTGAATCCGTCTCATCATCAGCAGTAGACATGCATTTGGGAAAGGAAACGTATGACGAAAACTCGAGCCGAAATCTTTTATTCCGAAACGCCTTCGAGTCCGAAGTTCGCCTCGGCCTGGCCGAAGTCAAAAAGTTCGCACAGGGACCCCATACTTTCCCCCCTTGACTCGCAAGGGTGCGCTTAAGTTGACTACCGATGCCTATGGACTCCTCTTCATCGCCAGCATCACCAACCAACGGCATACAGAACACGATCATCAACATCACCATCGTCAACATGATCAACATGCCTATCGTCGTCTCCTAGGTAGTTATCGTGTTCCATTCAGATAAAGAGTACGTTGTTAGCAAGCCTCCCTCTCCAATTCTACAATCGTAAATGCCCCCATCAATGGAACACATGTGTCCTGCACGGACCTGGCAGAACATAAGAGCGATCGTGACCAAGACCGTCACGTCATGTTTTTGCACTTGCTGCCCAGCACGAGCTTTCGAGCAAACATCTGGGCACGCGGCCCGAACCAACGCGGGTCAGAGCTTTCTCGCGCGACCTGCGCGCGAGAGCTCTTGCTGCGACTGCATCGTCTCTGAGAGCACACCTATGAGTCTCCTCAGAATGAACTAGTTCGGGAACTGTGTGCTTGGTTGTGTTGTTTTGTTGCCTTGTTCTCTGTTGCTTTAGCTTTAAGGCGCAGTGGAGAGCGGTGGAGAGCGGTGGAGAGCGGTGGAGAGCGGTGGAGAGCGGTGGAGCATGTGTCGTAGGTCTTGGTACGTCATCGCCCCTCCACCCCTCTCCGCAAGAAGGAAGAACGAAACCCAAAATGGACACAGAGAAATCCCGCTAAAACTTGCGACAAACAACCTTGTATAGAAATACTAGCCGTGACTCACAACCAGAACCCCCGCCTCAGCGTGAGAACGTTTTCTACGAACTGGACGTTATCACGGTTCGGGCATGGATGCTCTGCGGCAACGCATTGGGTCTCGGGAGTGATGAGCCCCTGCAAGACAGAGACCTTGTTGCCGAAGCGGTCCCCATTTCATAACAAGGTTTGTAAGGCCTGTGTAACGGTCTCGAAAGAATCCTTCGAAGCTGCCTAAGCCAGGAACCGCAACCCCGGCAGAATGAGTGCATGCGGTATACAAATATCACGTACATGTGTACTGACTTCAGGGTAATAACCCCCTTCTCACCCCGAAGCGAGTCTTGTCACGGGACGTCGGGCAGATCGCTTAGCTGGGGCTTGTTCCGGGTGCCAACAAACAATGCGGGCGCAGGGTCTCGCATTGCCAACACTGCGATTCAACCGCAGCTACTCTGCGGCGCCGTGGTGTCCTGACGCTATGCCATTGACTTCGATATCTGGCCTAAACAAGCACAGCAATCACTGAGAGTTGCGTAAGACATGGCCTAAATCAGACTTGTGAAGGGTCGTTTCTTGGCCTGAACTCCGTGTGATCCGCCAGCTTGCCGGTGAGCGCCAGGCAAGGGGCCTAACGCAGGGATGTGGAGCCGCAGCTGGGCCTTCGGAAATTGGACTCTTGTCGAAGCAACTTGCGCTTGAATCAATTAGTCACCTCAATAAGGATGCCTGAATAAGAGAGCAGACATGCAAGATGTGACTGTACGCACAGTAGTGGGTCAATACGGATTTCTTGACTGGGGCGGCCAAGTTCACATTCCTGCTCGCACAGGAAAAGATCGGGGCACACGAACTTGCAGCGGCTGGCCTAGCAAAGCCTCTCCCTGCATGGCGAAATTATTTCCGCGCGGCTGTTCGGATGAAGAACTGTTCGTAGAAGCCCCGAGGAATAACCCTTGAGAAAAGACAGATCATCTCAACAGCCACTGAAGGTGCTATATACCATGCCTTTCTTGTCAAAGATCTTGCCCCACAAATCCCACGAACGGTGGCGACAAAGAGAGAAGATTATGAACATCCTACAGCTGACTGCGAACATCCCCCTCTGTGAGATCCAATGACGTGGCACCACCTCTGGGCCGCTGGCGCCTTCCCTCCAGTGAGATTCTCGCTTCCAGCACCTGGCAATGCAAGACGGAAACACTATGTAGGACAATGAGTTTTGAGTTAAATCTTACGAAATCACCGTAAGTAAGGCTAAGGGCGTCCCACCCTCCAGAAAGAACTCTAAGAGCAAACAGCACGAATGCAAATGCATCTGATCCCTTCCACAGTTCTTGATCACGGATGGAAGCACTCCAATCGGCTGAAAAACATCGCCTGAATGATGTGTAAATCAATAGCCCCTCACGGCGGCAGTTCGGCATGTTGTGCGATGAAAGTCACAGAGCTTGCTGCAAAAAAAAACAATTATCATTTCCAAATGCTTCCATCGACGTGCAGCAGCAGAGCATCCTCAAGATGCCCAGGCATGAATTTCACCGCCAATCCGTCAGGGCATGCCTTCTCAGCGCAAGCAGTCGAATCTCGAGTACCTAAGGCATTGCTTCAAAAAACAGCGCCCTCCATTGCTAGGATGACGACTGGTCGCCAAGCGAGCGAAAGACCTCGCCGCAGCACACCCTGAGTCTGTGGGTCGTCACGAGCTACGCTTGACCGTTGAGATGAACAATTGCTCGGCACTCTGAACTCTAAGCTCCAACCCATTTCCGGCAAAACGAATTCAAGGACTTCTTGGAAGCTCTGGGTTTCCTGCCGGGCTGCCGATGGATCTGGCTCCTCTTAACCTCGTGGCCGCTTCTCGTCTTATGCATCGAGTCTACGAATGCAAGCTAAACAGCTTGTGTTTCGCTTCATGGAAGCTGTTTCTACGACTAACACTGCGCCCGCCCGGCTCGCAGCCCACCTGACATGATCCGACGTCCTCTGCAGAGCCTTCTTCTAAACTCGGAGAACTGTAGGCTCAGGTTTCACGGCGTAGTAGAAAGTTGATGTCCATCCAGGTTTGGCTGCACGTGTACTTTGAAGTCTGTAGGGAGTCAAAGAGACCTCAGAATTTCTCTGAAACTGACACTAAACACGCACCCTTGTTGGTTTGGAGGTCCCTTCACTGAACTACGGCGACATGACCGCCGTTCGTTGACGAGTTGCCGCACCCGTTTCGATCAGTCATGCCGAGAATGCTCACGCATCTGGAATCACGACTTTGTCGCTTTCAGGACACGCAGAGAAGCAGAAGACACACACACACACACACACGCACAGACGCATACTAACACACTTCTACCACCCCAAGACAAACTCAACTCAAGAGCCACTCAGAGGACCACAGGGAGCAAATGGCAGTTCTCACAACACGGACAAGCCTCGCACTCAAGGCGTTTTTGGGCCTGCAACTTTGGAGGCTTACATAAGGGTTCAGACGATTTGAAGCCTTGAGGCGAGGAGGTTTGCCTTTTGTACGCTCCAGACTGAAGTCGTCTCGTCTGACTATCTAGCTGCCAAGTTCGCATGCCTTTTTCCAGGGAGGGTGCGGCAAAGTATCTGCTCGAGCACATGCAAATTGAATTTCAAGATGTCGCCTCAACTTTGGGCTCCGTTCGGCGCACCGTAGCAAACGCCGTGGCAGTTGAACAAACCATTTCTTCACATGCATAGTGCCTGCATCTACGCATTGCTAAATCGAAAGTCTCAGATCGTGAAAGCCATGGCCCCATGACTTCGATCATTGCGACTGGCCGGAAAGCCTGGCGAAGTTAATCGGAGTTGATGACAACGACACATGTCCTGCATGTATCAAGTGCGAGGTCCTAACGCTCGACGACATACGAAGCCATGTGACACCTTGCCCTGCGAGTGTTCATGGAAATGCATACTTGACTCGGCGCCTCCTGAAGGTGTTGGACACCACGGCCGCCACGTCCCAGGGGCTTTGCTGCAGAATACGACTGTGGTCGATGTCCTTCGAAAGGCAACAGTGTTTACCCTCAAGGACAGTCGTGTTTCCTCTGATACCCCTACCGGTGCCACTACCACTACCACTAGCAGTCGCTAGCACCACCCTGACCACCAATACTACTCCTACTACTCCTACTACTACTACTGCTACTACTGCTACTACTGCTACTACTGCGACTATACTGCTTACTACTACTACCACTGAAAGAAGCGTAACGTACGCGACCTTAAAACTAACTAAAAAAAGGGAACAAGGAACAAGGCCGGGGAAGGCCTAGTCGACGTACCCAGAAAACCAGCAAAGCAAGCGCAGCGACTTTTCCAGCAGCAGGTGGAAGTCGGCAGTGCAGGCTCGTGCCACGGCGGGGCACGGCCTCAACCAAGGGCTCACAACTAGTGCCAGTCGCAATGCACAGGCACCGGTAGTTGCTACCTTATTGGTATGGCGCTATAGC